GCTGCGGGGCAACCGCACGTGAAGCCGGTTTGGGATGTGCTGCGTATCTACTACAGGTAACAGGTTTTCTGCTTGCTGGCTCCCTGGACGTGCCATCACAAGGCTCTGACCTTGGTGCAGCAAGCATGCCCGCACCACAACGGCCCAAGCCAACTGCCTGCAGTCCAATGTAGCCTACCTGTAGCTGCATTGAATCTGAAGCGCCGTGAATCTGACAGCTTGTAGGCAACTAGAGCCAGGCACCGGCATTGCTCCTGCTCCTGGAATGTTGGCAGAAAAGTAGGCTGTGTGCCACAGCTGTGTTTGCTGATCTGGTCATGCGGCTTCTAGCGACACGCGAAGCACATGCACGCGCTTGCGCGTGCCGATATCAGGAATTGAATGAGGGAGGCAGTTGCGCTGTACCATCCAACAAGCAAGAAGCCGATGTATCTGCAAAGGAAGATCAGCAGTTATTGAAGGTGTTTAGTAATCAGAGTCCCAACGATGTGAAGAAGTTGTGAGCGCATCAATGATGACGCTTTCCGGTTGATCGCCGACGAACCTGCATCTGTTTCTGCAACAGCAGTGTACTAGCACACGCAGAACTTCATAGCCCTGAATTTATCCAGAAGCATTTCCAGAAGAGACGCATCCTTGCATTTCTGCAGGGTCAGTGCGGATTCGCGGATGTTTCACTGTGTCGCCCCAAGCAATGTGCAAGTCACCGAGTCATCCAGTCGGGCTTCCGCCCGGCCAATCACCTTGGATTTAAGTGCTCCTGGCTGCAAGTCTGCGAAGCAGAAGATGTAGCTGGGACGGTCAGCCGCGTCTTTTCATGGCAGACGCATCACATCAATTGACGTGATGATTTAATCTAACTTCGCAATGATGGCCGAACCGAGTCATGGGTACATCCTTACTTTTCAGCTTTCTGTTCCGATCCCCAATCGAAGACCTTCGTGAGGCTTGGGACTGAGAGCATGTCGAACCTGGGGAGAACAACTGAGCTGATGCAAGTTGGTCGTGCAAGCGAAAAGACTGGCTGGAAGTGCCTCGTGGTTGAATCCAAAGCAGCCCAAGCATATCTCCAAGAGCATGACCGCCTCAGGTCCACATGTGCACCAAGCCATTTGGATGCAGTTCGTATCTTGACCCGCTTTGGGTTCTTGACCCTTTACCGGGATTCTACCGTTCAGGATCCTCGAGCTCCAGGATTGGGACATCCGCCGGTATCCCAGAAGCGAGGTTCTTGGCTCTGGGAGCAGCCGAGCAGCCATGCCAGGCACAGACAACACGAACTGCTTGGAGTTTTACCCGCGAGGCACCCAGCATTTTTCTCATTCCACTCGCACGGATTCTTGCGGAAGCATCGCCATCCACCCCAGCCACTTGTTCCGCCAGCTGTTCTATCGCCAATTTCAATGCCTGAGCAATGCTGCTCTCGATAATTGTGTTGAACTACACCCACCTCCTTAAGATGAACATCGGGGAGATCGCGTGTTTTCGTTCAGACCTCGGCATTGCTGCCCAACTTGTCTCGAGCCTACATCATGTGTACTGCGATTTCTCGCGGGGCGAAAGTGTCGGCACATGTAGTCACATCTGGGTGGAGGCTCAAAGCCAGTTCTTTGCAGGAGCGGTTGGGACGGCTGTGCCGCGAGCTTCGCAACCTGGGCCTGGATCTCACTCAAGACCTACCCAGTCAGGTGCCTCGGGTGCAGCATGTGCAGGGGTTGTAGAATTTAGAGTCTGCGCAATCTGCACAGCTGCGCTTTGTACTCTGATGTGCTTTCCTCTGACAGCCCTGTCATTCCTTGCGCCGGTTTTGATGTTCTTGCTGTCGGAAGTTGCTGAGGCAAGAGGCAAGGAGAATTCAGAAATCCCTACAAGCCCTGAATCCTGACATGACATGACGATCTGTGCATCCCACAGGCATATGACACACCACGGCGTGTAGGTTTGAATCATTAAGTTTGAGATTTTGGGGATTGTAGTTTTTGTTGAACAGGCTGCGCCCTTGTTTTGAATGGTCTGAACTACAGTTCATGTATCCCTCTGATGACCATGGTTGTGAATGTGATATATGTTTTCGCGCTGCATTTAGGGCCCTTGAGCATATCAGATAGCTTCGCAGTGCTGGTGAAAAGTCCGACCAGTTTCATACTGGTAGCAGAGCCGGTACCCCCTTGGTGGACCGGCCGAGCGGGGACTTAGTAGCCTGTAGTCCGTGAGGACCTGGGCGAGTCTTTTAACTTCGACCCTGCGCATATCCTCCGTGCCCCTCCATCATTGCCATGTCTGTTGCGGGACTTCGGTTTTCCCGATCCTCCTACTCCAGTACTCCTTTGGAGACTAGGAGCCGCAGCTATATCCATGATGGTGCCCCGAGCACTTTCCACGATTGGGAGTTTAGGACCTCTATGAGGCTTAAACTATACGAAGACGCGATTCGAGCAAAGACCAAGACGACGACAAAGGGCGATAAGACTATCGACCCAGACGACAGCGACGACAGCCACGCCGAGGCAGCAAACCCGACAAGGGCTGCAGCCGAAACTCCTGTACCCGCCGAGGACAGGCCCGACATGGAAGCCGAGGCAACTGCATCTTTAGGCGGACCTCCCTTCAGGCCGCCCTCGCGTGCACCAAAGTCCTCAGACTCGGGCTCTGTTAAGAGCGCCACAGCCGCAGCACGAATGGACGAAACCACGTCCTATGCCATCAAGGCAAGGACCGAGATGGTTCATAAGGTTCTTGAAGGACTTCGGGAAGAAGCCTTTGCGTTAGCCCGGGATATAGGCATAGAGGCGTTAACTGCCCCAGGTGGTTGGCGCGACTTCATCTCTCGCATGAGGAACGTGATGTTCCCACGCGCTGCAGAAGAAGCCCGCGAGCTCTTCAGGGCAGGCCAACGTCAAGGTGCCCTCGCCCGCCAAGGTGGTGAATCAATGCTGTCGCACGTCAGTCGGCGACGACGCTGGTGGAAGTTGCTAAAGTCCCTCGACGATAGCATCGAGCTCTCCAAGCCTTTCTGTTAGAACTTCTTTTTGAACTGTCCGGCCTTAGCCGACAGGAGTCGCTTGTGATCAAGGCCTGCACCTCGAACGCCAAAAGCTTTGAAGCAGTCAGTGCTACCCTCGTGGAGCATTACAGTGGTGTGCACCTTAAGGAGGGCCGCTCCTTAGGTGGAGGCGGTGCCTGTCAGGACCGTCGCCACCCCCACAGCAGCAACGGAAACCGGTCGCGGGCCGGTTCCAAGGGCTACGGCAAAGGTAAAGGCAAGGGTTTTACCCACCGCGCCTACATCGCCGAAGATGAGGCGCAGTTTGCATACGACGACGCGTATCCGCAGGAGGACGAGGAAGCAGAAGAGTACGAGGACACCTCGTAATTTGTCTTTGGGGACGAAGCAGACTTCGAGCCGCACTCCTACCCCGCAGCAGAGGAGGAGGAAGACCCGAGTTACGAGGATTTCGAGCTCGACGAAGACGAGGCCCTAGCCCTTAACTGCCTCGA